CTATCATAGTGTCATCACTGGTGTGTATTAGAAATCTTATTTTCATTTTCTATTTACTATAAACATAAAGTCCAATTGTTTTAAAATTAATTATTTCTGTATTTGATACTCATATATACCTTGTCTTTTAAGTGACGATACAAAGTTTAAAAGCTAATCAAAAGATACAAGAAAATCCGCACTTTGGTGAAGATTTTTTATTTGGAATAATAATAATTGAGATAAAATTTGTTTTCTCAAAATTTTGATTCGTAAAGTGTGAAAATATTTATATCACTTCACTATGCTGTTAAAGTAAAAATTACGATCAAAGTTGAGAAAAAATCAATACAATAGCTATACATAAGCCTATAATTTATCGGATTTAAAATCATCAAAGACAAATACAGATAATATTCAACATTTTTGAGAACACCTCAGGTATACTTTCACAAAACCGCATTATTTGAGGTTACTGCCACAACCTTAATACCTTCTTTATGTGTTTGAGGTAAGGGCAACTATACAAATACACTTAAAATAACAGTTTCTTAAATTTATATCGATCTGTTCCAACTGATATTCAAAACCACTAATGTATACAAGTTAAAGTTGTGGCTGACAATAAAAACCCAGATTAATTCAATGCAAGACGTTTAAATATACAGACGCAATTTTTTTAATATATTTTAAAGAAATATCTATTAATTTTTCTATGGAATCTATACAATTGTTGAGTCTTCAGGTAAGGATTCAATCGTACGGTTACATTCCATACGGTTGATACACTAAAGAAATATGTAAACAGACAAACCGAAGTCAAACCTTCCGCGTTCTTTACTATAACAAACATAAAATGACTTGTGTATTTATATATTATGTGCTCTTTTGTGTCTTCTGTTAAAAGTTTTATATCAAGAAATTATAAGTAAGTATAAGTCAAGTAACAAATTAAACATGTTGTCAATTGTATTACGCCTTATGGTATCACATATGTATTTATAGTTTATTGAACTGTTTTTATTTTCAGTTTCTTTCGGAGTTTTGAATCAATTAAGTAGTATTAAGGTATAATAATTATTTAGTGTATGAAATTACGTGACGGACAATAATGTAATGTTACTACCTGTTGGTTACAAGAAGTCTATGCAACGCATTTTGCACGAAAAAAATTGGATTACTATAACATCATAAATATATAAATTATTAATATTTACTATAGATAAAAATAATAATTGTAAAACATTTTTTACTGCCGATTGTCATACATATATATGTCATAAAAATGGTCAAAGGAATATCTCAGGGCGTATGAAAAAAATATGAAATAAAATACATTAAAATTTAAAATATATCTTTGGCAACCCTGACAATATCTGCGGAACCCATCATGCTACCGTTATCTGTAATATTTGAATTTGACGATGCGTATCGTTTGCTGTTATTATATAACATAAGAAATAGTGAATATCTTTAAAGATATATCTCACTTATTATCCAAGGTTCTCACTTACATATTTTGTTCTAGAATTCAGAAAAAATATCTTAAAAGACAAACATAATACATATGTATGTGTATCCAAGTGTTAATTGTTTTTGTCTAAGCAATATTATTTAAGAAGTATCATACGCCATGAAGGAACATGGATTATCAGTTAATCTACACAGTTCAAGAAATCTTTTTATAAAAAAGTCGTAAGTCATGTCGATCTTTCTAAGAAAACTCGTAATAAAAAAATAAACAATGAAGCTAGGTAATTGCATTAGTGATTATTAATCGAAGCAATTGTAAGTAGTCTGATGATAAAATTGGATTTAATGATTGAGAACTGTAGGCGATTTTAAACGTTTCCTTGCAATTAACTGCGATTCATATTTCTTACTGCTATAATCGAATGCATACTTTGATAAAATTAAATTAGGTTTCTTTTAATCCGGCTCATAACTTCTTCATTTGTTACGTATTTCATATTCAACTATTTCATTGAAATTTCTTTACTATTCAAATATATAATATCACTCTTATTAAGTAAACGTAATAGTAAAAACCAATATATTTCCTTGATAAAACTGGGACAGAGTGGTAACTGGAACATTTTTTACTTTCTATTTCAAATGCATAATATTATAATATATGATACATTAGTCTAAAATCATAACTAACGACCCGAACTAAGTGTGTATTAAGAAAAAAAAATGTATAATATCTTCAAATTTCATATTTTACATGTTCATATTTTAAACGAAATATTTATTACTTAATTATGATGTCGTAGAAATTAATAGCTGTGACATAAGTTTACCTATTACGTATGTTCAACTTGTAATTATTACGTCATTGTTCTATGTTGCTAATTTTAAAATTTTATTATAAATTCACACTATACATACATTTTGCAATGATTCATTATATGTAATATTTAACAGACAATTCAACTGCGTTTCCTTCTGCCTTCATGTAAGATCAAAAGAAAGGCTTATAATATAAATTAATAAAATCTAATTACATGAGATATATTAAAAATATTTCTTTTAATCAAAAAACTTCTATACTTCTGATTAAAACCGTTGTGTAAGTCAGTAAGTTGAATTGGTTTTAACTGAACAAATATGTTACGTACTTAGATCATAAAATTAAAACTAAATAATATTTTAAAATTTTTATTACAACTATAGATATTACCGGAACGATCGACTTTATAATTTATTTCCATATACTTTCACTACGAATACACTTATAATAAACAGTACAATATATGTAGCTAAATATAAATTATATTATGAATGTTTTCAAAAACATGTTGTCAAGGAAACAGCTTGATACTTTTACCACTTCAAATTTAACTTATTCGATAGAGTCAACGCAAAATCGGACCTTGACCGAATAAAAAAATAATGTACCTCTTAAACTTACAACATACTTAAAACGAGAAATAAAATATACACACATTTTTTAATGAATCAATAGCGTTTGCAAATATTTCAATTACAAAATTGTAAGAGCAATTATTTTAATGTTTTTTTTTTTTAGTAATTGCGGATATTTCACGAATGTTTTTATTAATAAGTGAATGTTTATTTACAATCAAGGCCAAAAGAATCATATTACACATTAGCATGGCTCGCGTCCGCATTTTTAATGTCATTGTTTGACTGATCAGTGCTAAGTACGAGTTATCGTTAATCTAACCAATGGTTTAACGTAAATTCACCATATTTTTGATTTAAAAACCCGAAAACACTCGATTTGGAGGTCGTTTATGTTAATTCTAAAATCTCTTTGCCTAAGATAACACATATATCAAAAAAGGGTTATAATATTTTATTCTTAAATAGGTATATAATCATTCAATAACTACACAATCGTTATTTAATTTTAAAATTAGTTTTACAAAATGTAAGTTGACAAAACTAATTTACATTATAAAAAAAAAACAAACATTAAAGTTATTATGAATAAAAAAATATTATTTTTGTAGTCAACGATATCATGTTTATCGTCTACTTATTTTTTCAAATTAACAGACATATTTTATGGTAAACAACAGTTTGATTAAGACGGTTCAGTATCTTCTGATGTAATTTTACACTTTCTAAAAAATTATAAGCAACGTTAAATATTGCCATTAAAACAACCACAAAAAATAGTAATTTTTCAACGCCGGTGTTGCAAGCTCATACCTACCAATCGTATTTTTTAAAAATTAATTAATTAATTTTCTGTTTTATTTTATAATTAATAAAAACGGATATTTTATTCCAATTAAAAAGTTGTGCGTTTATTTATGTAGTTGTAATTAATGACTCAATGCTAACCAATCAAGTTTGGTTCATTCATTCATTATTGTTATGATACACGAATGCATAATAAAATTTTAACTATTTATTGATTAAAGTATTAAAATAATGATAATTGCAATTAAGTAATTATTTTTTGTCAAAACTATGAGATGTGAATAAAAATGTTTTTTATTACGTAGCTTATTTGGCTTTGCTATTTTTTTATTATTTGTGATTTTAATATAATTATTAATTAGTTGTTTTATCAAAGAAATCAGATTAATACATAGAATGACACATTTCTATTGCCATAAATAGAACAATGTTTACACAACGTTTTTTATGCCCACTTTCCATAGACAATTACTCGACTATTGATGTGTCTTCCGACACAACGTGGGATTAGGAAATGACTTTTACTGTAATTAAAAGAAAAGCGGAAAACATACCTTCCTTTCAGAACTTGAAAATTATGTAAATGTATATGACTTATTAAACACAATTGAAAATAATCATTTTTCCTAAGTGATATATAAAGTATTTCTAATTATTATGATAATAAAGTAATATATTTGAAGGATTGTAATGATTTTATAATTCAAGGCAGAATGAATTTGTAATATATCTTTGTTGTATGGTCTTTATTGTACCTAGTTTTAAAAGGACAGACCGTTAATAATTTTAAATACAATTAAACACAATTGTTGCTCCTTATTAGTAAATTTTTGTTTCCATTGTTTGTCATTGTTTTAAAATATACCACGAAGGTTAAAAATGTATTTCAAAACATGTAAACAACACAGAAAAAAATGGTAAAATATGTAATTCTCTTGTATGTGTCTCCTATACATTAATGGGGATTTAGTAAAAAGTGATTATTTTAGCATAACAAACAGACACTACAATTTAATTAATTTTTATAGAGTTTTTTATTATATGTAATCTTATTCAATCATCATTAAATTGTAGTTACTTATTGTTGCCATGGCCGGAACACATTAGCACCCAACGCCATTAAAATGTTTATATTAAATACTAGACGTGCGCGCACACTTTCAAACTACTCTGACCTCTAAAATCAGTACGTGTATAATGAGACAGAAAACTTTCAGATTTATAATCGTTGACTAGTTATCTTTATAGCAACTGCCACACTTTTACTTTGATTCGGTCGTTTTATTAGTTGAAAGCATCGTTAAGCAACTGATGAGTTGAAGTGGATATTAGAAAAACTTATTTACCTTAGTAGTGCTTTGTATTTGAAGAAACGTTGCGATCCCAGCCCGTACTCGATTTTTGACACCTCGGATTGTGCCTTTTGAACTCTTTATTGTAGAAGGCGCCTCTTCGTTTTTATAATCCTTGATACCAGCAAAATATTCCATATCCGATAGTTCACACACGTTTTTATTTTCACATACACTTTTCACAGGCACATCATCAAATTGTTTTTCGTTTAAGTGGAAATCATAAAATTTATCTGTATCGAAATAATGGCTGCTATAACAAATGCTTTTCTCTTTCATCTTATCCGATTGTTTGCGTTCCTCGTAAGTACTTTCACTAATTAAGGGTGATTTATTTGGGGTTGTATTCTCTAGTAAAGTCTCCGATTTATTTTTCTGTGTTTCATTTTTTAGTTGAGAAACTAACAGGAATGACGTCAGCTGAGCGCTTTCTTTTGATAAATTAACATTTTCATTATTATTCTGACTTATTTCGAGGATACTTTGCGTTTCAACTAGCTCACTTTCAGTTTCAATGTTGTTAAGTTTAGCGGAACGGTCTCTTATGTCTTGAAGGAGACCTTGAGGTAGAAAGCTGCTGTCTTTATTGTTCACTTTAGCTAGCGGCTGTATCGTTGTCTCGGAAGACTGTTTCTTTTCTTTTTTACTTGGATCGTCGCTGTGACTTTCGTCGGCGTGCACGCTTCCATTTAACTCACTACTATTTAACGAGTCACACGATATATTAGACTCGTTATCTTCGAAATCGACCTCGCTGTTGTTTCTTGTCGAGCTAATTACCGTAACGGAGACGGCTTTCTTTGTGGAGGTTGATTTAGATGACTTCTTTTTAGGCAACGGCGGTGGTGTACCATCAAGGTCGCTACACGTCCCTGAATCCAAAGTGTCACTCGGAGAACATTGTCCACTAGACATTACCATATTAGACATTGTATTCACGTACGAGTTACAGTAAATATACGGTGGCTTATCTTTTGATAGATCTTCATTATCCAGTATTTTAGGTCCGCTGTCATCCACATTGAGTCTGACTAAGCTGCTCTTTTTGTTGGAGTCATTGAACTTGAAAGTATCAAAATCCACGTCACTTTTGAGATGAACACTGGATATTTTTGGAGCTTTTGGCTTATCAGTGTCGGTATTTATCCTGATAGTCACCACGTGGGGGCCGTTGATAATAGGTGCGTCTGCGCTTGGCGTGATCACGGGTCGCTCTGGCTGGGTCGCCGCGACGAATACCGTTGTTGTTGGTGACTTGGAATTAAGGACAAGAGAGTGCATCGAACTTAGAGAGTCCATTTCTGACCGGCTTTCTGCGAATCCGTTCACTCGGAGGCTAGAATCATCGTTTACTATTTGCGTAAAAGTTGTTGATCCGGGCCTTTGCTTTGCTTTAGGGGTTACAGGTGCGATGTATTCTACATTTGGGCGTGTTGTCACCTCTTCCATCATGATGCTGTTTAATAAATTGGCATAATTAAGTAACGGTAATTGCGTTTGTATTCGAGTCAGGTATCGGTTTAGATTGTTGTGGTTGTATAAGGCATAATGGTTCCGGTGGCAGTGTTGGAGCGATTCTGGGTCAATCCGCACGGATGGCCTGTTTTGCAATGCGTTTTTAATTTACCTGAAAAAAGAAAATAAATCTTTATTTACATAAAATTATTTTTAAATTAATTAAATTATGTATAACATCGCTTTAGTTTTGCAAAGTATAAAACTAATTTTCAATTTCTTAAAGTTATTACTTTAAATAATCCAAATACAAACTGTTCTTTCTAAAACAGTAAAAACCATATTAAGCAAAGCTAAATGAAGGGCAAGAAATGCATTAAACATAGTTAAGATTGTTTTTTTATATAAAAAAAAAAAACAAATAAAATCGCTGTCGTCTTTTAATAAAAAATATAATTTTAAAAATAAACATTTTGTTGAAGAGAGTGAAATGTGTTTATTAAAAGTAGACTAGTTTCTACTCTGTTGTGCTTTTAAAAATTATATATTTAAACTACTCACTTTAAATATCTCTTCATTTAGTTTTATTACTGTCCTATTTAATGTTTAGCATTAAAAAATATTGAATATAAAGCTATACTCGTATAGTAAAAGGCATGTATTCACATGCTTATGTACGTGCGTACGTACGTACGTACATACGTACGTAGAAATATTGCACAATATTCTATTATGACTTCAATTCAATCTTCTATTTTATTTCTATAATTCCCTTAAAGAAAAAGAAAATGCAAACAATATTTCCATATTTTTTAGTTGACGAATTAGCTTGTTTTATAATTAAGGAACGATATTTTGTGTCATCTTACCTTTCATCTTACCTGATAGACGTTTGAATCTTTAATACTTATGAATAATTTTGAGTTTTTTTTTAATATATAAATGTTGAATTTTATCAGAACATACATATAATGAATTTTTATTCAAAAGCCTTGGAAGTGTCAAAGTTTAGGTTTACTGATTCTGCTCTTAACAATAATGGTTATTTTTTTTTAAAGGAAAATGCATTATAATTATTTTCCCATTTATCATATTACTTAAACTAAACTCATGACTTTTTTACAGTTTATTTATAAAGCAATGATTATATTGAACGGAAATTTCATACCACCTATTTCATAGTTTATCTAGCAATCAAAATCCCTATATTAAACATCAATAAATAACTATCGCTTCTCCATTATAACTGTTATTTGAACTAACCACCAACTGTTGATAAATTTTGTAATAGAATTGCGTCAAAACTTGTAAACCTCGTAATATTACCGTAGCGATATTTAATTCCCGTCCTTACATAATACAGTTTCTATGGTACCGGTTACAATTCAATGGCTTGAAGCTGCTAATAGCTTTGAGATAAGATTAAGATGTTATGGTTGGGCAATGTAATTATAGTCTTCTTAAAATTTTTTTTCATTCAGATATTACAAGAATAAAGACGTATGAAGAAAAGAGCAGAAACTGTGGAAGGTTAGTAAATTATCATTACTATACTAATGTATGAATGATGATAATAATATTATTCAATTAATTAATACGATAAGGTTAACACTTTTATAAAGGCCTTTTTAATACTTTAGGATCTAGTGGGAAACAAAGTTATAAAAAAACAAAGGAGAATAACAGCAAAGTAAACTAAAGCATCTAAGTTGTATAGTGGTTGCAAAGGTAACATTTTTTTATATAAAACTAAATCTCGGAGACGGTAGGCTATAAAATATGGCTTAGCATGGTTAGTAGTACGCCACGTGAACCGCTCGTAAAGCCAACCCCAGGCTGCCACAAGAAAACTACATTCATATTACCTTTACAAAGATTTAATATACGACAAGTAATATATTTACAAACTTTATCTCATTTTACTGTGATAGATTAAATTTTATTCACATGACTGAGATTTTGAAACACAAGTCGATTTTAGGGAATTAATACTCTGTGTTACATTTCTTTATAGACCTTAACACATACGAAATATCCAAAGAATAAATTTGTATGAAATTTTTGCTTTCCTTATAAGAGATCACAGAGATATATGCACTTTTGAAGACTAAATGTTAATCGAGGGCATATTACGCAATCTTTCTGTAAATCCAAATTTTCCAGTTATTTCAATTTATCTCAAATAAATACAATATAAAAATGGGAATATGCGTTTGAAAATTGTTAAAATAATAGTATCGTATCTAGAAAGACAGTAATCTAACCTACGTAATAATATATTTAAAAGATATTTTAAACAAATCGAATTCAATTTGATATTTTGAAATTCCTTGAACGTTACGGCGTAATATTAAAAATGACGGATAAAAGTGATGACAGTTAATTTGAAGAGCGATTGAGTAAAACAGAACGAATTACTTTAAAACGTAACAAAAACACTTTCCTATGTAAATACCATAACAAATTCATTTACTATGGCTCTGAAAACTAATTTGCATCAAAAATATAGAAGTGTAATCTTTTGATTCAAAAAAATGTTTTTAGAACCATTGATGCTTTAAAGGCTTAAAATCTTCGGACGAAACAAAAAATTGGGTCGTTGAAAATATGAACAACGATTAATTTACAATTATTTTGTTATTAAAAGTATATTAACCTAAGATAACTTGCGATCCCCATTGTATGTCATATTTTGGAGAATAACAATCGAATTCATTCAAAGAAATATGTATATTTTATATGTTTAAATATACAATTATCTCAAAACAAATGATTTTCATCCAAAATTACTGAACTTTCACTGACCGTGGTTTATCCAAGCTATTTCGCGTTTTCTTTACCAGGTAAAAGTGACGGGGCCCATAAATCATGCTACAAATACTTGATGGAAAATAGGGTCGTGAAAATATCATAAATAACAAGAAGACATTCACGAGTTCAGGGGTGACATCTTAAAAATAATGAAAGAAAATGAAATTCAACACTTTGTTTAAATATAATACATAGTCTTAAAGAGTTGATATGGATTTATGTTCATTTACAAAGTATAAAGTTCAAAAGTGGTTTCGCTAAATTGCAAAAAAAATGCAACAGTGCTTATTTTGATTAAAAATATAAATTGTCGAGTTCTCAGAAGTTTTAATCATTATAAGCGGTTTGATCATTACGTCAGTGCCTTTTTTCACTTTTAGTGTGAATAATGTAATACACAAATAATGCAAATCATACTCAATATGAATTAGTAATAATAAGATAAAATTAAATAAGATAAAAGTTAAAAACAATGTTTTAAAAAAAGTATATTTTTACAACAACAACTATCCCACTGGATTTAAATTTTATGTTACGTAATTAACGAAATTTTCACTTTTAAGTTAAATTTTTTACATAAGCTGCAGGTGCAGAAATACCTGATTCTTAACATATTGTAGGCGGGTCATGTGATTTATCTTTTCTGGTTTCAACAAAAAGTCGTAACAAGAAAAAAATCTGTAGGTACTAATTACCGCATACTGAAGTTGTGATTTATTATAGTTTATGTTTTAAGCAATGTGTTATGTATCTTGGATAACCCACATTCATTGATAGTAAATTTTCCCAGGATTAATCAGTCTCAAAGTAGGTCGAACAGATTTGATAAGTCCCGTATATGTTTACACTTGTTTATCTTTAAAGATAAACTAGATGATAATTTCGCACCTCTATCTGGTTACGTTTTCATTGGATTTGAAGTATATACAATAATCTTTCAGTATTAAGAGTATGTAGGTTCTTAAAATAATCTGTAGAACTTCTTAAAGTGTTGCTACAACTATTTTGCAACCGCAGTAAAGTTAAAGAAAAACAATGTCGTTTGAAATGTCTTGTGTTGCGTACAAATCTTATATTTAGTCTACATAGTTCATGTTACTTCATTCTAAGGTTCAAAGTTATCAGAACACTTAAACAATGTACAAATGTATTATATTACTTAAAATTACATGTTTTCCATAATTATAAATATACTAAATCTAACAAAAATCATTTAAAGAAGTATATATTAAATCGTAAGTGGAGATTATTTTTATTACATTTATATTTTCTACACCATTAATATTCGATGATTTGGAAAATGTCTCAATAATCTATCACAAACGAGGCGATTGACCTGGGTCATAATTACATCATTATTGGCTCAGACATGTCGCAACTAGGTCAGGTAATCTTCACAGCATATAAAGCCATCAATTTAAAATTCAGACAAAATAATTTAATAAATATTTATATCGTTTGAAATTTAAAGTGTGTTTTTTATCAGACTGTTAAAGGGTTTCCAAATATGTTGATAGAATTATGTAAAGATTTTGCTTGTTTACTCGTAGACTATAAAATAATTTTTGACCTTATACATATATAGAATTATTCTACTAAATGTAGAACCTCTATTGATTTTAGTGTTGATTATTCAAATTGGGGAATAGTAGACTACTGTAATGATGTCATTATTTGAGTGTCACTCTTAAGAGTCACTCGTATATATACATATATATATATATATATATATATATATATATATATATATATATATATATATATATATATATAACCATTTTTTGTACATAAAGGACTGCACCATCTCATGAAATATAATACTTTTGTGAATATTACTTTAACTTAATATATAAAGAGAATTTATTAGCATTATAATTAAAGTACGATTTACATTGATGTTACTGATTATCTTTACAAGATCTGACATTCAAATGAGCGCCGATCCCAACATTTACTCAAAAGTCATGCAGTCAAGGCCGTACAAGATGTCTTACAGTTAGGAAAAAAATTATAAATTATTTATCTATAATCTATATAAAGCGGAGGCATTTTATTAAAAGTACTTTCACACACAAAAGTATTTTGTCACATTTATACCTAGCAACTTTTTCCTCTTACATGAGTCACACTTAATATGTACTAGTAAATTAAGATTTTTTTACTAATTACAGTTTTAAATTTTAAGT